CAAAACTTTTGCTGTATAAAGTATGCTGTAAGCATTTTGCTATAAAAACTGAGAATCCCATAATGCTAATTCTCAGAGATAAAATCTCCCTACTAGAGTATACTAAACTCTGCTATCACTTCAAAGATGTCAGAGAATTGCTCCCTATTCCAATGAAAAAAGATTGTGAATCACACCCCTATTATTCTTAACAAAGAATTAATACAGTTTGTTAAACTGTAATTATCAGCATTAAATACAATTGTGGCAATTATTATTAAACATAATTTGAATCGGTACCGTGGCTCTGACGAGGTAGTTGCTATCAGGTGAAGGGGGATTTCTGGCATTTTGGGCCCTAGCATTGACATGGCCATTGCCTTTAGAGTTGATTTCTTTGTGTTTGTGCTGCTGAAGCGAGCACTGGAGTTGACTTCTTTGTTGTGGGAAGATTGACAGTATGGGCTCTTTAGTTACAAAAATTCAAGGTAAGTATCCCCTACTCTTCATCCAGATAGAAGATGCACCTTACACTTGCATGTAAATGCAGTCATGGAAGGTGAACATTCTCTGCTGTGACATAAACTGGAGTCAGCTTTCCCACGTCTGGGCTTCTGAAGCAGGAGAAATTACTTTCCAAAAGGAGATTTTTAGCAAGAGAGTTGGAGCATTCTGACTCCCACAAGGTGTTATGTAATAGTGAGAACCCAAAATCTGGGCTCGGTTATGATTGAATAACCAATGTTGTGGGAAATGGATTATGGACTCTTGATTGCTCCCCATGGGGCCTAGAGTCTTTCCTGGGCTGTGGTATTGAGAAGTGAGATCAGAGGAGTATGTCCTCACTGTCCTTCAGACCCCATATGCAGTCAGTAGCCAAGGGCTGTAGATTTTTCTATCTGAAATACTTCTGGAATTGATCCACTTTTTCATCTTCAGGGTCACTATTTTAGTCCAACCCAGATCAGCCACCTGTCCAACTCTGCCACATTTCTCATTCTCCGTTCCAAATAATCTTTAAAAAATACAACCTAATACGTTCACATCCTTACCTCTTAGATTTCAGTTAGTTGCCCTTGGAATAGAGTTTTCCTTTGTTTAGCAAGGTTTGGAGAGCCCTCCACAATTGTGACCTCTCACTGTCTCAGCTCCCTCCACCGTCACCCTGCTCTCCCTGACCCCATGCTCTAGCCATTCTGGAATTATTTTGGTTCCTAGAACATGGCTAGGTCTGTCTCGACCTCCAAGAATGCTGTTCTTTCTGGAACTCTCTTCACCTGCTTCAGGGTCATAGCTCAGCTCAGATGTCTCTTCCTCCTGGGACTGGGTTTGGATCCCTGATTTGCACTCCTAGAGCACTATGCACTTCCCCTTTCATTAGCACGCATCACACATGGAACTGATGTGTCAGAAATGGTTCTCCTGCTGGATTGGAGACTCCACGAGGGCAGGCGATGTCCTTCATTCACTGCTCTGTCCCTGCGTCTGTAAGAATTCCCGACACACAGTAGGTCATCCATAAATACTTGTTGGATAGAATGAAAAGTGAATGCAGTAGAAGGTAATCCGGTGTATCAAAGAATCTGTGGGAGTGGAGATTATAAAAAAGAAAATGAAAATAGCATTGGAGAACTCAAGTATGTTACAAGCCAAAAGGTTCATGAGCTTTAACTTTTCAGAGGTCGTCGTTGACTTGAGCAAGGTGCATGTCAGTAACCCAGTGGAAGCAAAGGCCAGGGAGTTGTAGACTTAGGAATTACTATTTTGTAAGGAAGTGAACCCAGCACATAAGGCCTGATCTTTCAAGAAGTGTGACCATAATGAGCAGAGACAATGGCGAGGCGAAGGAGGCATGGTGAGATGAGAGAGTCTGACATTTGCTTGCTTTTTTTGTTTTTTTTTCAAACTTAGTCCTGGAGTAACTTGGACATTCTCAACCAGTTTTTCTAGTACTTTGTCCTGCTTTCCTGATATATCACAGAGGAATGTCCTATAAATATTTCCTACTGCAAAATGAAAAGAAACACATTTTGGAAGTTTGACTTACGGAGTTTTAATTTTTTTCAATTTTTGAAGAACAAAAACTGCAGATTGTCAGCCTACCTGCAAAATAAGCTCTTTCCTTGACATCGGTTTATGAACGTCGTGATTAGTTTGTGCTGCTGTGTGCAGACTCTCCCCTTACCAGGGCACTTTGTGTTTCTAGCCTCTCTTCTCCCTTCAGCTAAACTTAAAATTTTGGACTTTGGAATTTGATCTTAAAACGCTTATACCTCTTTAACCCCGGATTTTGGCACGGCTAGGTCCTCGGCCTGATATTGGACACTCGATGTAACAACTGACTTCTTCTAAGGAGACTTCAATTCTTCGGCGCCCCCTTCCGAAATTTCTAATTTCAAACCTGCTCTTTACGACCTGCTGTTCTATTTAAGTTGCTGCAAAAGGGGCTTTCTGTGTCAGAGCCCTTACTGTGAGTGTTTTCCCTCAGGTCTTTGATAGGGAGAAAACAAGATTCTTGTGTATAACTCTGGAGTTTAAATGATGGACAGGCCCCTTACCCGAACAATAATGCATCCAGGTTATTAATATGAGGCCAGTAGCTGAGTCCTTTTTCTCACTATAGAAGAGTTAATCACTTACTAGCTAGAGGGAGAGAGCATTCAATATGTTCAGAGGCTGTTTAATCATTAACCTTGGGGATAGCAAATAACATCTCTGGGTTTCTGAGAACGTATATCCCACTGCTTGCCAAGGCCTTGTCACCAAGCTTATTATTTTAATTAATTTGTTTTTCCCTTACTGTGTTACCCTCATTTCTATAACCAGCTGTGGACTGAGTTCAGCCATTGACCAAACCACTTCCGAAGTCACTGCTAATGTTACACATCAATATCACCACTCATTTAGTCGAAGAACATATTCTGTATTCCTAGCAGGCAAACACAAGACAAACATAGGTTTCCAAGGTATCGGCACTGAGAGCATCTGTTTCATAATGTAATTTCATCGGTTGAACAGATGAAGAATGCTAATTAGTTTGTTTATACATATGTGATTTAATGAGACTAAACACTTAACTGAACTTAAAGTAAGCACAACTTGTTTCCTGTTGCTGTTTTTTCTTAATAAAAAAACAGCGTTAGACACATTTTCTGGAAATTATAGTGATGTGCAGTAGAGGAGAAGAAAGAATTTCAAGGTTGACTGGTCCATTTTATCCTTCTGCAATGAGATTTAACAGGAAACTGAGAGTCAAAATGTTGGGTTTAGGGACAAGTGTTGAAATCCAACATTAATGAGAAGGTTAAACTTAATGGGAGACTTCAGGGTACCCGGGTGGCTCAGTCAGTTAAGTGTATGACATCAGCTCAGGTCATGATCTCAGGATTCCTGAGTTCGAGCCCCACATCAGGCTCTCTGCTGTCAGCACAGAGCCCACTTTTGATCCTCTGTCCCCCTCTCTCTCTTAACCCCCCTCAAGAATAAAAAAAAATAAACATTAAAAAGAAACTTAACGGGAGACTTTATCATAAACTCTTTTATGTCAAACTCCTAAATCCCAAACTAAAATTCTAATATGTACCAGAATTACTTATTTTAGAGAGAAGTTCTATACCTTCATCAGATCCAACCTAAAATCTTCAAATTTTTTTGGCTTTTTTTCTTTTTTTGTGCGTACTCTCTTCTTCTAGTTATATTTTGATATGACTGAAATCATGGCATTCAGTTAATATAGCTCTTCTTCCTGAAAATTAACATAAAGTAATGTATTATAATTTTTATTGTTATTTAATATTATCTTCTACACTGTCTTTTTTACTTACAAGTTATACTAAACTGGATTCACATGGGCTACTATATTTTGGAGTGGAGTGGGTAGAGGAGATGAGGAAGTGACTCTGGTCCTGTAGTCCAAATTATATCTGGATTAAAATGCTTCAGTTAACCTGCTCAGCTTTTTATAACAAGGGGTCAGCAAGCCATGGCCTGATCCAAATCAATAAGGCCATTCTGAGGGCCAAATCCACAGCCTGTTTTTGCAAATAAAGTTTTATTGGAACACATGCATACCATTCCTTTGTGTATCAGCTGTGGTTGCATCATGATGTAATGGCAGGAGTTAAGTCACTGATAGAAACTTGCAAAGTTGAAGTTATCTACTCTCTGGCCCTTCACAGAAAAGTTTGCTGTCCACTGATCTAAAGCATGTATGAGGACGGGAGTGAGTGAAGAGTAATAGTTATGTTCGGATGCATTAAAGACTGAGAAACATATATTTGTGGAATTGAATCAAGATAAGTGTGCTTGAGAGCCTTGGAGTTTTAGGTCTTTCAAAATCAAAGTAACCATTCACTCTCTTACCAAATTACCTTTGGGTCATTCTAGCCTGCTGAGATAGCTGCTTCTTTTATTGTGGCAGGAAATGGCCTTTGCTTGTGAATATATAGGATCTTCCTTGTGTCTTCTTGAAGATTCATAAATTACATGTGATCACAGATTTGGGGGATTTTAAGTAACAGAGAGTAGCACCCGCTTCTTCTGACCTGTCAGCATCCATAATCTTCGCCCATACCTAATACCTCATGACGCTCCCGAGGGCTATCACGTGGTGAATTTAGCTTCCTTATTTGCCCCAGTTCAGAAATTGGATTGCCCATTGTTCTAAACTTAACTAGAGAACATATCTGTGTCAAATTACAATCTGTTGCTGGTATACATGAAGAACATATTAAGAGCATTAAGGCACACAGAAAAGAAAAAAATAAGTAATTGAACTCCAGTTCTAAAGACTGAAATATAAGGTTTTATCCTGGAAGATTCAACTACCACCAACCAACGAGCAGGAGAACTATGTTTTTGTTTGCTTTTTAATATAAACTTGCAAACCATATCTTTACTCCTAGTTTATGAACTAAGCCTGATTATTTAGAAACTGGCCTAGGAGTTTGGGTTGATAGAAAACACATTGGTTCTGGTGTCAGAGGGACCTACATGTGAACCCTAGCTCTGTCACTTTCCAGCACATCAAATGAAAGAAAATAGCCTAAACTTTTGAGCCTCTGGATCGTTGGGGATTGTGTCGTCTGGCTGTTGGGAGGATCGATGGAACAGTTCCCGTGAGGCTTGACTGTAAATACAGAATCCCCAGCACCGTGCCAGGCACGTTGTAGGAAGTAAGTAAGCTTGGGCTCTTTTGCACTCTTTTTGTGTTTTTGCTTTTCAAAGAATGAAGATGGTTGGTGGACCCAGTTACTAAAGACTGTTAGTATTGCTGACAGTTCATGAGACCATTTGAGCGACAAATAACTAATTATAAATGGGTTGTATTGTAAACTGTGGGTGGGAGGATTTAGAGTCACGCATCGGCAAAAACAAAAGTACGAAGGGAACATGCTGAAATAGCCACGTATATGATTCCCGTGGGCCCCTGAGAGGTTTACTCCAGTGTCCTCTAGATTTGGATCCAGAGACCCCTGCAAATCCAGTGGCATGTGCTTAGGGATCAAGAGTTCTTGGAAAAAAAATATTACTTTCTTACATTTTGATAATATTTTTAAATTATTTTGCTATTTATAGAAACAAGTGTCTTCTTTTGCAGTAATCATTTTTTTAATTTTTTTTTAACGTTTATTTATTTCTGAGACAGAGAGAGAGAGACAGAGCATGAGCAGAGGAGGGGCAGAGAGAGAGGGAGACACAGAATCTGAAACAGGCTCCAGGCTCTGTGCTGTCTGCACAGAGCCTGACGCGGGGCTCGAACTCACGGTCCGCGAGATCATGACCTGAGCCGAAGTCGGATGCTTAACCGACTGAGCCACCCAGGCGCCCCTGCAGTAATCATTTCAATTAATTTTGTTTTCCTCTAAAACTCAGTATTTCAACCAAAAACATATATTTGAGCATCATCACATACTTTTTTTTTTTTTTTTTTTTTTTTTTTTTTTTAAAGTATTGGAGACACTAGTTTCTGCTATTCTGATTTTTCAGGAAGGGAAACATAATGAGAATGTAGTAGGACTTAGCACTAAGACACAGATTTATACTTGGCTTCTGTCATGAAACCATAAAGTTCCACTCTTGTGAAATCAAACTTAACGAAGTGGGCTATCTATAAAAATGGAAATCAGTAGTTTGCGGTAAGGACATTTTGGAGAAGATTATATTCCATTTGCAGAATACAAAACCCGAGTATTTAGTACACTAAAATGCACACCTATTAAGGTCTTTACCAAATGTTTCATCCATATAGTAGCTGACATGTCCACATGTCTTTTTACTTGAAAATGGCACATGGACATGTGGTCTTTGCCTTTTTTACACCTGTCTTTTCCGGTTTACACAAGTACACGTCCTCACTTTCCTTTCTCTTCTGACTCTCCACTACCCGTAGACACCGCAGTCACCAGGACCTTTGATCTGATAGTGGCTTCTGTTTGTCAGTCCCGCATAAAAAGAACAGCTCATCGGGAGGCTATCCACAGCAGGGCGAGAGGCTACCAACACCATGTTCTGCACGAAGCTGAAAGATCTCAAGATCACAGGAGAGTGCCCTTTGTCCTTACTGGCACCGGGGCAGGCTCCCAAAGAGCCCGCAGAAGAGGTAGCAGGAAGCTCAGAGAGTGGCAAAACAGCTCTGCCCATCTGTCAGGATGTGCCTGAGAAGAATGTACCAAGAAGTCTTCCTCAAAGAAAGACCAGTAGGAGCCGCGTCTACCTTCACACTTTAGCAGAGAGCATTTGCAAACTGATTTTCCCAGAGGTGAGTGCTTGCTCTTCTGAGATTTTCCTGATATTTTGAATATTGTAGAAGAGCATTTTTTAAGGGGAATGTAAACATTTGCTTTCTCACTTTCAAGGATATATGTATATGATAGATGTAGAGTATTTCCTAGAAACATCTAAAAACACTTCTTAAAAGCAAACATGTTCTTTTTTAAAAAATATTTTTTCTTAATGTTTGTTTATTTTTGAGAGAGTGAGAGTGAGCAGGGAAGGGGCAAGAGAGAGAGACAGAGAATCCAAAGCAGGCTCTGTGCCAACAGCAGAGAGCCCAATGCAGGGCTCGAACTTGCAGACTGTGAAAGTTGACCTGATTTCGGTCAGACACTTAACTGACCGAGTCACCCAGGCGCCCCAAGCAATCATGTTCTTCAATTGTGTTTATTCTTAAATGTTTAAGATTTTGAATTCTTTTCTTTTCTTTTTTTTTTTTTTTTAATTTTTTTTTTCAACGTTTATTTATTTTTGGGACAGAGAGAGACAGAGCATGAATGGGGAAGGGGCAGAGAGAGAGGGAGACACAGAATCGGAAACAGGCTCCAGGCTCTGAGCCATCAGCCCAGAGCCTGACGCGGGGCTCGAACTCAGGGACCGCGAGATCGTGACCTGGCTGAAGTCGGACGCTTAACCGACTGCGCCACCCAGGCGCCCCAAGATTTTGAATTCTTTTCTAAAGGATCCTGCCTCGATGGCCTTTATGACTTTGAGCAAGTGCTTAAGCCCTCTCATCCTCAGCTTCCTTATCTATAATACCTACTGCCTAGAGTTTCGATGAGCATGAAGTGAAATAATCCATAGCTCTTGCCATACCTTAAGTGCCTGGTAGTTGTTAGCTATTATTTTTAAATTAAATTTCTTGAAGAATAACTTATTTTTCTGCCAGTTTTCTTCTAATTCCAAAGAGCATCGTAGGTTCCCTGCCAACTTGTTGAGGTGGGAAAATCTCCCCTTTCCTCCTCTGGCTCTGAGTGTGACCCAGAAGTCTCTGTTCAAGCCAGAGTCCTTGAGCCAGAGTCATGGCCCTGTGCTTGCAAATTACCTCTGACACTTCTCAGTATAGCTCTGTGAGCTGTGTAGCCTAATGCCTCTTCAAGATCTGAAGCACCTTCCGTTAATCCACCTATAGGAGAACCTTGGGGCCAGGGCAAATATCTAATGAAGTCACATATTAGGAATCACAGAGTATATGGAGAGCTCCTCTCCCCCTGTGGGGCTAAAGAGAAGAGCAGCTGAAAAAGTCTTCATGATGTCTTTCTCCTTCTGGCAGTGTTTACAGTTCTATGTAAACTCACTTCATCTGGGAGATTGGACATTGATATAATCTGACTCCAGCTATAATAATCCGTTGAAAATGTTTAATTGACCCAGCACCAACCCTCTGCTTTGTGTAGAGCACTGAAGAACCACAGATTGCTGACTTTTAGAACCTACTGGAACTTTAGAAGTGATTTTGTCTTACTCCCAGGAAGGATTAGAGAGGTTAAGTGACTTGACTAAAGTCACCCAACTGTTGCAGGGGTAGAGCAATTACTGCTGTCAACAGTATGCCTAGAGTGACTGTGAAAGAAGAGGCTAGCACTGTAGCTTGAAGATGGAGAAAGCAGAATCAGCAGAAAGTTGAGGGAACTTACTTCAAATACAGTATTAGCACAATCGCGCCTTGGTTAATGGCCTTTGAAATGGGAATATTTCATTATTCTCACCCCACCCAAGTCACTAGACAGCCAGTTTTGGCTGGGATGAGCGATGTCGCCTTTCTCAGGGTGCTGGTTGGCATCATAGTCCGGGAAGTGATTGAGACTCTTATTTCCAAGAACTGAGTGAGATACACAGAGATGAACAGATGGTGATGATGGGGATGCTGGAGAGCTTCCATGCTCTCCTTGGGTCCTGTCATTACCATCCTGGCTTCATTATTTTGTTTGATAAATTTTGAATTCCTGCCATAGAAGTCAGACACATTTTGGAATCTCTTTCAAAAACATTCTGAATACCAAATATAAATGATATTTTACTTTTTTTTTCTTTTTTCTTTTTCTAGAATAATCTGTGTTGTTTGTGAACTCCTAGGAACAAATATCAAAATTTGACTGTAGCATCATGTAGCAAGGAAGGCAAAGCTGTAGGAACTCTAGAGGGTAAAAGAGGTACATTTGGCATTAGCAACTAGAACTCTGACAACTGAGGCCATTTTGCCTTATAACAATAAATGTCCCAGTGCTGGATGCATTTGGACTGTCTGGTGATCAGTGTAGATTACTCCATCAGCCATCCAAATGTCAGCATGTCTTTGATCAAATACAGCATTTTTTTTGTTTTTGTTTTTACTGATTCTTTTTTGAGTGGACAGATTTAATGCTTAGCCTACTGTTTAGTTTCAGTTCTATCAGGAACCCAAAAGAGAGACTCAAAACAGCATTTGACAACGTTACAGTTCTTGCTTTTTAGATAATCCGATTTAACTCCACAATCATGGTTTTTGTTTGTTTGTTTGTTTGTTTTTTGTTTGTTTTTTGTTTTTTTTTTTGTTTTTGGCAGGGGGTGGGACACAGATCCATAGCAAATTTAGAGTGGGGAGGTGTCATTCCAGAATAGTAGAATAGAAGGGCCTGGAAAGGTGCTATTGCTCATCCAATGCAGACTTTTCATTTCTGGTTTGTTTGTTTTTTCCAATAAATTCTAGATTTGTTTCTAAGCTCTATATGCATTTTAAAACTGAAAGTCCTTTTCATAAGTCATTTTATTGAAACATAAGCTTGCTCTATTTTGCTTAACAGTGCTGCCTCACTTGACCAGTGGAAACTCTAAGCGTGATATAAATAGTTCTTAAGGAAAAAGGAATTTCCTAACTTGGAACATAACCAGAAAATCTTTCACTTTCCTCTGGGCAAACTACAGAAAGAGTCAACAATGATATGTACACATATAGATACATATGGTTTTTATATGAAATGCAAAACAAACAAAAAAAATTGGCAGTGCTGCTATCCAATGTTGTACTTGTCACTTACGACCTAGTGAAAGAAAACAAACTGTTAAGAGAGATTAATTGATAGGCAGGTATTTACAAAGTATGGAGACTTACAGAAAAATAACTTGCCATGTAGGAAAAACTCATGAAATACTCAGAAATCTAAGAGAGTAAAAGTGTAAGTATTTGATGAAAATTATTAGTTCTAAGAAGGGAACTTAGTACACGTTAAGGTAAATCCGAGATTTGTTTCAAATCAGTGACCAACTGACCTTGGTGAAAGCTTGGATTTAAGGGATTAGAGAATTAGAGAAGTGGGGGGGGGGCGGTGCAGGGATAGCTTCAGAGTTTTCTAGGCCAGGACATGTAAATGAAATAGGCAACATAAATTCCCATTTGTAGTTGAGGGTGGGGCAAAACAGTGGGGTGGCTGGGTGTAGGGTTTGTGAAGAGAACAGAAATTTGCTTGGCGAGAGCCATACTGAGATTGAAGTGTTGGCAGCACATCCAAGAGGATTTCCTGACCCAGAGGAAGTGATCTACAATTTCTACTTGGAAGACCCGGCATTACCAAACTGGAGTCTGCTGTTTGGATTTCGGTTCAACTTGACCTTGTGTTGTGGCCGTCAGGGAGACCACCCACAGAGGGCAGAGCCCGTGAGCCACAGCCCACATCCAAACTCAAATTAGTCTGGGCTCATCAGTTCTTCTAGGCTTGAGAAACTTCTAGAAAATCAGTCTCTGTTTCCAAAGCGTAAATTCGCCACACTTACCAGTAATCGTGTTTTTGCTTGAGAAGAAGCTTACAGTACAAATTTGTAAAATCCGTGTCTTCAATTAAACTATTATTTAAGAGAATGTTTAAAAGCTTTCTTTTCAATTTTTAGTTGGAGCGGCTGAACCTTGCACTTCAGAGAACATTGGCAAAACACAAAATAAAAGAAAGCAGGTAAATTGAACCACTTACTTTAGTTGTGTGAACTCCCCATTACAATCACCGATACCATTGCCAATGGCCATCACTTAGCAATGCATCACCATGTTTCGAATCACTGCCAGAAACTGGATTAGGTGTTTTAGCTGCTACTAATGTGAAAGGAAGTGTCTTAATTTTTCACAGTTGATACATCTAAGCTCAGATTTATGTGAAATGTTTAGGATTTTACAGCCGTTTAGGAAAAGGCAGATCTGAGTTGCAAGCCTGGGTTTTTCAGAGCCTGTGGCTTTAACCATGTTGCCATATACCGCTGCTTTTGACAAGTCATTAAACCTGTTCTTTCCTACTAAGAGGTAATCATCCCCACAGTACTTAACATGGAAGGCATGGATCCCGGATGCTCAATACAGACTCTGTGCCTGAAGGATACTGCCAAAAGGTGGAGCAGGGTCCCAGTGGCCCTTGCCTCCCACGGGTTCAACTTCCAGCCGCTGCATCAGGAGGAGATTCAAGAAGAATCAAAGTTGGGAGGCTGTTTAAAGGGAGGGGTTGCCTCAGGGGGTTAACAGCAGCGACAGTTTATCAATCCTTAGGGCGGTGTTTCCATATTTTCATAACCAGTTGGGTTATATTTGTGTGCACTGGCTGAGTGTCCGTTCCTTTTATACTTTTTTCTTGTAGTCTGAAAATTTTTTAAAGAATGTTTTCTGTAAAGGCTTAATATATAACGTGA